AATAAATTCCCTGGGAAACACAGAGCTCGCTGCCGGCAAAGCTCCCGTGCGAGCTCCCCGAGCGGGACGATGCCGGGAAGCCGGAGCCGCTTCCGTGTCCCCCGTGTGTCCCGAGCAGCGACCGGGAGAGCTTTTCCACGTGGGATCGTGTTCTCCGCACGACGGAAAACTGCCCTGCATTCCCTAACGCGGAGTTAACGGGTGTAAACGGCGCCGCCGGTCGCGCTAATCCGCATGGATCTGTCTCCAGGTCTCCCACGGGATCCCTCCCGCTCGTGGTGCAGCTCCCCAACGGGCAGACCATGCCGGTGCTGCCCGGCCCCGCCGTGCAGATGCCGTCCGTGATATCGGTAAAACGGGAATCTGCGCGGGATGGGGCTGGATGGGGAGCGCGGGGGGAGCCGGCCCTGGCACGGAGCCGCTGGGAAGCAGCTCAGATGGCTCGTGCCGTCCGTGCGCGCTGGGATCGGCGGGAAGCAGCCCGGATCAGCTGCTTCCATTTGGAACGGCGCGCTCCGAGCGAAAGCGCTCGAGCTTGCCGGGAACGTGGTGGGATTCGGAGGCCAGGAAAACCGCCCCGGCCTGGCCGGCGCGCTCGGAAATGGGGTTTGCTCGGGGGGTTATTCCAGAGCGGGAAGTGTCCTTGGGCTTCCCGAATCCACGTGTTGTTTCTCCCGTTAGCTGGCTCGACCCGTATCCATGGTGCCGAACATTCCCGGGATTCCCGGGCCGCCCGTCAACAGCAGCGGCTCCATTTCGCCCTCGGGGCTCCCGGCGCACTCGGAAGCCAAAATGGTGAGTGCCCCAACGGGGACGTCCCCAGACCGCAGGGACAAACCTCAGCCGTGTCCTAACGTGGATCCCGACGGGACAAAGGCGGCTTTGGGAAAGCAGGAACCCCGTGGGGCTCCACCAGGCTGCGGCTCCCATCGCATCCCAGTTCGGCACCCGCAGGATTCCCGGGCGCGTTAGGGCGAGGACGGGATGGGGATGGGAACACTGGCTGGGAAGTGGATCGGTGCCAGCCATTCTGGGATGTGGATTGATGCTAGCAGTTCCGGGATGCGGATCGGTGCCAGCCATTCCGGGATGGGGATCGGTGCCAGCCATTCCGGGATGGGGATCGGTGCCAGCAAGTCCCGGAGGTGG